CGTGGCCGGCATTGCCCGGCCGCAGCCCGCAGCCGGTACCCGCGCTCAGCCGTCGTGTTCTTTTTTATAGCAGATCCGTGCGGGGTACTCGAGCCCTGTTCCGAGCCCGTGAGGATGGCGTGCTTCGGCAGGGCAGCAGCGTCGGCGCCGCAGCGGAGAGCGGGCGCTCGGGAGGGCAGATCTTGTTAGAGGTACGTATAAAGTTGCTGTTGCTCAAACAGGCTTTTAATTACGCATTTTTAAAGTTCGCCTTTCATGTATGCCGGTGCAGCCAAGGTCACCTTGAGCACAATTGAAGGACGCATTTCGCTTTCGCTGTTTAGAAGTTTGTGAGCCTCTTTTTGGTATTTATTGGGTGGTTTAGATATTAATTTACCTGGGCACTAATTAAAAAAAAAAAAAAGGCAAATTGAGTGTAAGAGCCAGCAAAGAAAAAAGGATAACTTACGTACTGAGGCTGTGTAAAGCTAAGTATGTGCATGGATATGCTAGCTCAAACTCCGGTTTGTATGGGGAACTCTGTACATTAAGTATTACGGGAGAGGTTTGCGTCTGCTTGGAGAGGACGGTAAGAAGGACAAAATGTTGGGACTAAAGTTTTAGGCCTTGCTCTTGCAAATGTTGGCATACAGGGTGGGCACAGTCTCATTTCTGACGGCTTGTAGCTTGGCTGTAACGTAAGTTTCTTTGCGGTGACAGACGGAAGAGGCCGTATTGCCACTTTACGGTTTCTCTAGAGGAGAATGCCGGGATTCCTATTCTGATGCCTCTCCATAACAGAGCAGGTTAATTTGTAGTCTTTTGCAGGTATGCAATACAACGCTGAGTTGTTTTGCTATGTTTGACCTACCTTCTTTTTTCTTTGGCTGCGGAAGAATTCTTTACTGTGCTTATTATATGAACTATATAACTTCCTTTTTAAAATAACAGTGCAAGTTCTTCTTTACTGCTGCTTCTTCTTCTTTACTGCTTTTTAATCCCACAAATCCGTAGTGCCACTTATGTCAGCAGCACGTTCAGATTTAGGGGTGTGCTTTTGTGGAAAGCATTCCTTCCTCCGAGGAGTTTGCAAGCTGGTTTGACTACAGCTAGATCAGACGCATAAAATATACTGTGAGATAGGATTGGGAGAGAACGTTAATGAAATTTTTTGTAAATAATAGGTGTCCTTGAGAAGCAAATGTTGAAAGAGTGAGGTCATGGAGTGCAAGAGAATAGTAAACTTTTGAAAGTGGCTGAAATGTGTATCCTTGTGGCTGAATGGTGAAGAACAGTGGAAAAGCATAAAGGGATTATACTGACCTGTAATGGGAAGAAGAGCAGGGAGAGGAAAATACGTAGGTAGCTGATTAGTTGCTGTGTTTATGGAAATCTAATGTCCTGGGTTTTTTTATCATATTAAAATCATGCTGATTTCTGACTGCAATGAAACTTCTTCAGAACCTAACTTTTACTGAAGGGTGCAAAAATAGCAGTTTGCTAATTTTTTGCAAAAACCCATCACTGAAGTTATGTGCGCGTGCACGTGTGTGTGTATGTTTGTATGTTATTATTTTGCAGCTTCTGATCTTCAGTTCAACTCCTGTGTCATGGATGAAACTGCTTTGTCCCTTGGAACAATAGATGTTTCCTATTTGTCCACCTCAGCAGAGTGCAGTATCAGTAGATGTAAGCATTCCAGTGAAGAATGGGTAAGTAAAAATTGTGAATGTTACTAGCCATATTTACCTTATTTTTTTCTTCAAGTCGAAGGTGGACTTTTTTTTATTATTATGAAGAATGACGATAAGGCGTCACCTCTCGTGCATGATAAAGTTTGATTTTAATTTAACTTGAAATGTAAGGAGGAACCAACAGTTCAGTGCCGTGCCAAAGACTAGAAGAGAAAAACCCTATCAAACTATTGCTAGTCTTACAGTCTTCTGGTGTGATGTTACTAATCATTTTATATAGCAGTAAATGTGCAGAATCCCATTCTGGAGTAGACTGAGGTCAAAGAAAATCAAATAGAAAGCTCGTTGCTGTTCTGAAGGATATAGTTTGAAATGCACAAGTGAAAAGGATTGCGAAGCTAAAGATGCATGCTCATGTAGCCATTGTAGCTGGAGCTTTTCATGCAGTACAGGAGGCAGAGAAAATTTGGTGGATATAAATAAGGAGCCTATTAAAAGTCTGTGTCCTCTGTTGAGTGAGTCTTGGGATTTGGAGGAGACAAAGGGGGCAGTGAGCAGGGAGGGCTAGGTGGAGCAGGAAGAGCCGCATGGGGACTGGGCTGGTACTGGTTGGTTTAGAAGTATAGGTCAGGAAGAATTAGACATGGCTCTGAAGAGGAGGAGTTTGAACTTGATACAGAAAAAGAGTTGGAGACATGGTCAGGGTTGAGGGAAAGGACAAATGTCCTGGCAGCTGGCTTTTCTGTATAGCTAGATGTAAGTTACGTTGGACAGCAAGCTGCAGTAACCAGGAGATCTGTGAGAGAGTGGGATAAAGGCAGGCGAGACAAAAGAGATAGGAAGGAGGTTTTGCAGGAAAGTGGTGGTGGGTTCAGTCAGGGCTTGGAGGCAAGCAGAAGGAAGATGGTATTGTTACAAAGTTGGTTAGTTTTGGAGTTAGCGTTATGGAAGGTGATAGAGAAGGGATTGGGCCAGGCTTAGCATCTTGATGCTTGTTTATTTCAGAGGGAAGACTTAGCCTTGGAATAATTCCCAGTTCATACCGCTTGCCAAATGTGATAGACGCACATTTTAGTTTTTAGGAATCTTCAGTGTTGCTTTTGACTTTCTAGTTGTTTCTCACTGGGCCGGCTTTCTAGCTGAGTATGTGATGATCTGTATTTGTGTTTTCCAGCCCTTATGGTGGTTTAAGGTATTGGTTCCACCCTGCTTCTCTTCCACTTAAATGTGCTATTTTAAACAACGTTTTGGTTTTGTTTTGGTTTTTTTTCTGTAACTTCTCTTTTATTAAAAACTTAGAATATATGGTTCTGAAAATGGCAATCCGGTACTCATTCTCAGGCAAGCAATAATTCAGTAGATTTTAATGGGAACAATCAATGTCTTTGTAAAAATTGTAGTTAAGTATATTTTCATTATGTCCTAACACAGAGAATGAGTTCTGTGAATGCAGATACTTTGGATTTTCTGGTTCTGTAACCTTCAGAAAGACAGCATAACATTGGAGAAGGCACAGCGGTTGCTTTTTTATATCACTTTGCATGAAACTGCTGAAAAAGAGCCTACAGAGTCAATGGAGTTAGTATTTTGCATACATTTAGTCTTCTTGCAGTTTTATAGGGTGATGTCCAGTTAAAGCTTAAAACACATTGCTCATATTATAAACACCCTTACATTACTGAGAGTGTAATTTACTGTTAATTTCTTCCACTTTTCTCGGCGCTTTTTTATATCACTTTGCATGAAACTGCTGAAAAAGAGCCTACAGAGTCAATGGAGTTAGTATTTTGCATACATTTAGTCTTCTTGCAGTTTTATAGGGTGATGTCCAGTTAAAGCTTAAAACACATTGCTCATATTATAAACACCCTTACATTACTGAGAGTGTAATTTACTGTTAATTTCTTCCACTTTTCTCGGCTGTCAGTTTCCTTGTGGTTTCTTATTAGAGTTTTTATTTATTTTAAAATTTTGTATGTCAGCAAATGCTGCAGTGCTTAAGATACATAAGTACAACATTCTGATTTTGCTTTTATTTTTTAAAATCACATCATCTGGAGGTAATATAATTTATTTTAGAAAAATCTTGGAAAAATTTGCGCTAGTTTTACATAATTTGGGGGGGGGTAATTTTTATTTTTGTGTCTGGCAACTCCTCTTACTCAAAGTTTTCACGTAACCAGTAAAACATACATTTCTGGGTACTTACACAGTGGTCTTTTGTTCTGCAGGGAGAGTGTAACTCTAGGCCCACTCTCTTCCGATCTGCCACTTTAAAATGGAAAGAGACTCTGTTGAGCAGAAAAAGGCCGTTTGTGGGACGATGTTGCTACGTATGCACTCCCCAGAGCCGGGTAAGAAGATTACAGACTGGATTATGTTTGACGATAACGCATAGTTGCAGCGTAATGAAGTTTCAGTAGTTTTCTTACTTTCAGAATTAAGGTCACAATGTTCTTACTTCATAAAGGAATATAGTTTTTCACCTTTCTTTGTGGTTATATTTTCTTTGTCATGGAATTAATGGATGACACAGACCTATTGTGATGCTTTGTCTCCCGCTTTTCAGTGCAGACCTGTTCCTTGCACAAAACTCTTCAGCTCTTCAGAATTAGCACTAGGAAATAGTTTTTTCCATACAATCTGCTCTGCTAGATTAATAATGGGAATTTGGTGCTTATGAAAGTGTTAAGGCTTAGTTTTAGGATGCTTAATTCTCTATCCACAGAATAAGTACAGTTTTGAAAATAAGCAATATGCTTCCCTTCAGACTTGAAGAGGTGAATCCTGTGCTTGAGAAGACAGGTTGGTTTTCTACACCTGGCTGATTCCTGGCTTCTCAGCCCAGCCTGGAAACAAGGAGTGCCAGTTAGGATAGTGGGGATATTTGTCTGCTGGGAACAGTGTCAAGATGGTGGCTCTAGAGGGGTTGTGCAAGCTGATTTAAAATGTGAGTCTATTGAACTGCATTGGGCAGGCTTTCCGTAAGCTGAAGATGCAAAATGCTGATAAACGGCAAATACAGTTTGCGACCAGTTCATCGTGTAATTTGACTATGTGTACACCACGGGCTTTAAATTGCGCTCAGTTACACCTGCACTGAGCTCCATGATTGGCTGGACTAGGGTGAACATTTGCTTGTTTCTTTGATCAAGGAAAAGTTGTTATTTCACTCTGTTACTAAGCCGGAATAGAAGATTGTAGCTATGACATACAAATGTGGGATAGAAATCCAAATGTGCTGTGAAGGCTACATATGATATGGGCAACAAGACAAACAATTAGATAAGCTGAGACTGCTTCTAACAGACAACTTAAGTGTTTCAGCTTGTAAAAAGGTGTGTAGGAATCCATAACTTAGGCCCTTATACATTTAGTAATTAGGCTGTTAGTAATTAGGCTGTTCCTCTCAAGTTGGGAATTACGCTTTAGGAAGAAAAATCTTGTTCTGTATTTTGTCCATTTATTAAGGAACTAATTACCTGTCCTTAGATCCCACTTAGGAAAGGGGCATGACCTGATTAAGCCCTTTATTGCCTTCTGCCACAAGGAGAAAATACCATCCTTGCAGCAGATGGTAACAAACCAGAACCTCTCATTAGACTCTGGATATTTCACTTTTTTTTGAGCTGCCTGTTTTGTTAATTCTCTTAAGGAGAAGGGACGGATGAGTGAGATAGAATTTCTTAAGTGTGTTGGCCAAGCTAACACCTTGCCGGTGCAGGGAGTGGAAAGTCTTGCTTCTCCCTCTTCTGTTTCTTCCCGCTCTCCTGGGGGCTGATCAAGTTCACTAACCAAGCAGAAAACTACCTGCTTTATTTATTCATTTAGTCTGGCTGTCTTAGTTTTCTACCTTGCCTGAATGAAGTTGGCTCGTTAAGGGGTGTGATGAATGCTAGAGATAGTGTAAATTAGGAGGTGGGGGATAGTGTTTAGTGGGAAAGGGTAGAATGTGGTGGTGGGAGCTGGGCTTCTCTCTCATGGTGGCAGGGAGATGCTGTATCAGCTCGCTTGGTGTCACAGAACCACATCTTGACATAGGATCGGGGAAGAGTTAAATAAGGAAAAGCTAATGTGTGACATTACAGCTGGAGGATGAACTTCACAGAGTGAGGTTATAACCTAACAGTTAGAGCACTGGAGTGGACTTTGGCATTCGGTGGTACTTAACTTTGTTGGTGATTTTTTTGGGAGACCAAGAAGAAGTCATTTCACTTCTCTTTGCCAGAACATTTCATCTAGCTTTAAGATCCACAAAAAAATTACCAGTGAATAGTCAAAGTAATTAGTATTACCTTGAAGTTTCCTCTTAAGAGCCTAGAGCAATAATTTGTTGATTGTATGTACTACGCAGTTATGCTTTAACATGGGGCAAAAGACTGTGTGCTCCCACTGTAGCATGTAATTTCTACCTGATTTGTAAATAACATAGGACACTCGTGTATTTTAATCTGTGGCAAATGGTGTGTCCTAAACAAAATACAAACAAATGAGACCCTTATCTGACTCCCATTGCAAAATTGGTAGTGAGGCTGTTCTGCAGCTATGCGGTTGCTGGTAACCATCTTTCTCCTTCACTGTCCTGTTTTTGCCTTCCTTGACATGCACAGTCCCAGTGGTTTTAGCTGTAATTTGCTGTTGGTGTGGTACCAGTTTTATAATTAAATATTATTTGGGCAGAAAGAAACTAGCTTCTCGGTCAAGGTACTTACTTGGAATATGGAAGATGAAAGTTTTGGTCTTCCTGTCAGGGAGTATTTGTTTATCCAAAGTGGAACTGCTCTCAAACTCATCCCAGAACAGTTAATAGCCTGGCATGTAGAGTCTGTACCAGGGATGCAGAAGGCTGGATTGAGTTTGTTGTTCAGGGAGAGCGGGGATGTGGAGATTCGCCACCTAACCATGGATGGATTTCCTGACCCTTGGGCTGCCGTTACGCGATGCCTGATCTGCTGGCAGACTGGATGTCACAGACTGAAAGTCAAAAGACTCATGATTATACTAATGCTGAATGTGGCTTAATAAAGTTCTGTCTCAAAGATGAGTTCTGTATTATGACAAGTCCTAGTTTATATTACATCAGGATATGATAAAATACTCTGGCTTGAAGAATGCAACCAGTACAACCATTTCTGTATGCAGTAAAGCCTAGAGAATACTTTGAAAGTATTGGAGCTGGGAATAGTGACTTTCTGAATTTCATTTTCGTTTCAGAACAGTTTGTGTGTACTTTATAAGCAAGTTCAGCACTCCTCTGCTTTGGCTTTTGTTTATAACAGAGGTGAAAAACATTGCATTATTGTAAATGTTGTGATGACTGTAAAGACACAACTATTCTTAAGTTACAATAGTCCACCAATCTTTTTTTTTCTTGGTTTTGCAGGATAATTTCTTCAATGCTAGTATTCCTTCTTTGGGTCTACGTAACGTCATATATATCAATGAAACACATACGAGGTAATGTAGCAAGTCTTTCTTTTGCTTTTAAAATTCAGTGTGTTCTGATCTTACGGCAGGGAAATCTCTAGGATAATCTGGCCAGAATGAATATATATTGCTGTCCTAAAATGCAGGAATTGATGCTGACTTCAGGAAAGTAATGTACTTGTTAAATCCGGTTGTGTGTATCTGGGAGCTGGGCAAAGTCCTTTGGGGTTATAGGCAAGGAGTGTAAGGGTCAAACCTGTTTAACAAAAAACAGAGCATGTTTAAATCCTTTCTCCTTTAGTGCAAATGGCAGCATCCGTAGCATAAAGCTGAGAGGAGCCGTTTTATTCCCATGCTTAAGAATGACTTCGGGCTGCATTTTAATTTACTGAGCAGATCTGGCTCACAATTTAGGCGTTGACTATTATCACTAATGACAATTAAATCTGAACATGTCTTGCTGGACTGTCTCTCCTCTGCCTCAGTGGCGGAGTGCAGCTCCTGAAGGATGGTGTATATGACCTAAAAATGGTGATTTATCTTTGCACTATTGGAAATATATCTTGTGTTCTGGGATGAAGACACTGGAAGGACACAAATATCTTTTATTCTGTTCTTCGGAAAGTTAATAATGCTTGCTAAGGTTTTTACAGTAATCATTAGCATAAGCAGATCCTGCAGTGTTTGTCGTAGAGTCAGAGCAAATAAAGAGAGGCCAGCAGCCTGAAAGAAATGAGCCAAAGTGTCTGAGTACAAGAAAGGCAGCATTGTGCTGTGCTTGAGAGGGAGGAAGCTAATGTTAGAGGCTCTTCTTTTTTCAATTTGAATTAATTATTGTTTTTTGAGAGTTGAGCTTGTAGTTTAAAATACAGAAAAATAACAGAAATAGTGTTTAATTTTAACTTTTTTTTAAATTAGTTTCAAAAGTCTAATGCTTGAATGGTTTTGAATGGTCAGAGTTACTTAAATTAGAAATATACGGGCAACAAAATATGGGTTAGTGAATTATTCTGAAATAAAATGCCTTTAGCTCAGAACGTCATTATAGTCTGAAAATTGACAATTTTAATGACGTTCTGAGGTCCCATGGGGTTACATAGTCACAGTTTCTTGGCCTTCGAAAGCAAGAGGGGTTCTCTTTAACTGCTAGCATACTGTACCTGTATTGAGGCATAACTTTTTCTGAGGTGTGAATATGTCAGTTTTATAATATAACTTGACTGGGTCTATTCTGTGTGGTTTTTGTCTTCTATCATTGCTACACGATTAGAAAACAGATTTTTCTAATTATACTACGTCATATCTAAGCTGTAAAATGAATGTAGAAGCCTTTATACCTTGACAGATCCCTGCAATAGCTGTATGCTGTTGTGATGATATGTTCGTAGTTATCGAAACTGTTGTCAGAAAGAAGCATATCCTTAACTTTGCTTTATAGAAAAATCAATAAGGCTCTCAAACTCCGATGGGAAGGGGAAAATGGAAAAGCAATTAAAACAGAGTCACCAGTCTACTTCCCTGACAGCATGAATAGCAAAATTCTTTGTCCTTTGAGATGGTTTGAATATTTGTATACCATTGCGTGTCAGACTGTGCCGATGGCTTGTGCGTGTGCGCTCATCTTAATTATAGTGTGAGTGGCCTGTGCACTCAGGTGGTTTGGCCTTTTACAGTGTAAAAGCTCCTTCTCATCTTCCCTAGCTGGTTTTAACACATGTATGAATTTACTGAAACGTGGTAGGGAGGTTTAACAGCCAAGATCAGTAACGCAGGTGACAACAAGGAGTGAGACCTTGGCAGCACTCCAGTGTGGAAACCAACATGAGTATTGCCGCCCACGGTTCGGTTTGGGAGACTTGCTGGAGCGTCAGCGATGCATTGCACCAGCAGTCCTCAGGACAGGGTTTTTGCATAATACTGAGTGCTCCGGTCTTAGGAATGGTCAGAGTTTAATTTCTTCTTCCAACTGTTAGTTCTGCCCCATCACATCAGCTGTGCTGTTCGGGTGTCCCTGCTCTGTTTGGTTTGTGGAGTGACCCGCATGAGCGGTGGCCTGTCCAGTCCTGGCCTGGTGAGTGAGGTAGGGAACTGTGAGGAAAGAAAATAGTAGTGAATATTCACTGCTGGGGACTGGATTTTATGCCTTCCCGTGTCACATGCATCTTCTGTGATGTTAGGAAAACTGTTCAAAATAACATGCTTATATGGTCCAGAGAGTAGAGGACAGGGTTAATTTAAAAGGCAGAGACTGGCCACATAAGCTAAGTTGCCTTACTTAAATGCTTGAGAGATTTACTGATTATTTGGTGGTTCTGTTTCTGTTAAAACTTTGCAAGGAGAAGGTACCTAGCAGGCATGTAGGACTGGGTGTTTAAAAACACTGGAAAGGAAAAAAAGATTGCCAAAAAAGTGTTTTTAGTGTTGGTGGCTAATGCAGACATATTTTCAAAAGTGCCTGTGAGAGTTTACCCTGTGCATACAATGTGAGCAGCTTTCCCAGGAGGGCCCAGTGTTTCTTGAAGAAGTTGACAAACCTCTTAGCTGGGCATTTACATTCCTCGGTGGAAAGGGGAAATGGGCACTACAACTTCTTTTGTCCTCGCTGAGCTGGGGGGTTGGTTCCAGCGGACAGACAAAATGTACATACTGGTTTGTAGCTACTTTCCTGAGATACTACGGATGTTTTAAGACCAGTGTCACCCTGAATTGAAGTAATGCAGACCTCAGTTGGCTCAGATATTTTGTGCTACGCACCAGTTATTTCGTCTGTAACATTAACATATTGATGATTTACTAGAAGATACAGAAGCTTTTAGACAGCCCTTCGTAAAACTTTGCTTGCTTTTGCTTCTTCATTGTATTTTTAGGTATTTTTAAAATTCATTTTTTTGGCAGTGAAATATTTTGAGGGTCACCCTCAAATACCCTTCATATATTTGTAGGTACAGAGGGTGGCTTGCAAGACGCCTTTGTTATGTCCTTTTTGTGCAAGAGAGGGATGTTCATAAGGGTATGTTTGCCAAGAATCTGACAGAAAACGTGCTGAATAACAGCAGGTAAGATAATGCAAAATAAACTATTTTTTGTATGACTGATACATTATAATATGATTTAAGAGTCTGGAAATGGCAGGTTTTGAAAATCAGACTGTTTAAAATATTAGAAGATACAGTATCTTCAACACAGCCCTTCAGGACTGTGCTTGCAATTTCTGTTTGAATAATAAAAGAGGGGAGATTAAGAATTATATATCTCCAAATGAATGATGCATAGTGGGTGGACAGCAGATAGTACACAGAAAAATAAATTGCTACATGGGAACTCTTCAAACGTTTATCTAATTCATGTAAATCATTACCACTGAAGTCATACTGCAGTCATCAGAAATTGTCAGTGTTTCAGAGATAGTAGGAAAAGCAGCATTTCAGAGTACCCTGAGTGTACACCAAGAACGTGAGGCAAAACTGGAGAAAGGCTATAGAATGAAATACCCACCCTTTATTTTGTGGAGCTTGTTTTCTGTTTCGTACACTGCATTTTAAATGGCACGTTGAGCCCCTGATTAGCTATTAAGGTATCAGTTTTCCCTGGACACAAAGAAATTCAGCCGCACGCCCGCTCCTTGACTCTACTTCTGTCAGAGGCCACACACTGCCTATATTAACATTCCTGAGTCTCCTGAATTTTTAGTGTTCGAGTCCCATCTGAAGATGATAGCATCGCTTTTGAAAAGTAAAGCGGACCGTGTTGTGCCACAGTTATGGTGTATTAAACCACTTAATCTGTCTTAGATATGTTTTAAATGGGGAAAATAGCCCTTATAAAATTTAGTTACACTTTGGAAAACTGCGAATTCAAGAGGGAAGATACTGTAGAAGTGCAAAATAGCAACTGCATAGATCTGTCTAATGAGGTAAGTGAAATTGCTATGGCAGGAAAAAGAAAATATTAACAAAGAGGAGATTTCAGCTGTTCTTTCTGCATTTTTAACCTTATTAACCATTTCTGAAAATTGGCGATCACTTCGTATCAGTACCTGTGAACTGCGTACATACTGTTTTATATGGTCAACTTTGAGTGCATTCATCCATCATCCACCTATTTAATCAGAGCTTAGAAAACTATTGAATTAAATTTAATGCATTTGGAGTACACAGTACTTCAGTGTGCATGTTCTTTTATGCCTGCAAGGTACTCCTGTAGTAATACATGGCTCATTCCCAGCAGTTGTTGTCTGTGTCTTGAACTCTTGTTGCGGGACTGTCTCATAGGTTTTACTTTTTAATGCTAGAGTCCAGAAGGCCATTGTAGATGAAGCTTCTGAACCAAGTGCTCCGGGTAGTTTTGCTCAGACGGATCCTAAAGCTATCAACAAAGTGAAGAAAAAAGCTAGGAAAATTCTCCAGGAAATGGTAGCAAATGTGTCACCTGCTTTAATCAGGTAAGAAAAATGGCTCATCAGTATTGTCAATGGGTAGAAGGACGGCCAAGCTCTCTCTGTATTATACCAGCAGAGCTTGTAACACATTATTCATAAATAATGAATAATCATTCTAAAAATAATTAATTATTCATAAAAATCCCTTTTCTCATGTTAACTAATGAAATGGTAGTTATTCTTCATTTTCAGATGCAGCAGAAACCCTCTGCCTTTTCAAGGGATAAATCTTATGATAAGATTAAATAGACTTTTTTTTTTTCCCCTCCTGAAACTAGGCTTGGTGCTAATGCTTAGACCAATATTAGTATCCTTTGTTGTTTCAGGCTGATACAAGCGAGAGCAGTTAGCTGCAGCATCTTAGACTGTGAAAGATCTTTTTTCCAGTAGCCCACTGAATATCATAAACTGTAGTTATAAATATCTCAGAGAGTGTCTTATCTTACATAAAATCTTCTACTGTGGTGTCTACCTTTACTACTAAGGATGACTTTGTCTCTGTAATGTTCCTAGTCCCCTTCACCGACTTTTGTGATGCAAACCTTATAATTTTGTAACTATTAAATTCTTCCGCAAGACCAGATACATGCTGTCACCTAACATGTCACCTAACTAGCTTAGTTATTGTAATTGATCATAGGACCTCTATTAACTTGCCCCATATGTAAAGTGGTCTCTGCCCTTCAAACAGCCTTCGCTGAGGTTGACAATAACAAGTTTTGTGTCATAACTGCAGGAGGCTTGAAATGTGGTTACTAACCATGGCTTAGCTGATGGGCAAAAACTTGTTAAGCAATTGGATTTTATAGTCATTTTGTTTGAATATAAAGTAATCAGATTTTATGGCTTTGCCTTTAGTCATATAGAAGCAATATAAAATGGAGGCAGCAACGAATAAATCTTTTTGAGTTGTGTTTATTCTTCCTTCAGGTTGACTGGCTGGGTGCTACTGAAGTTGTTTAACAGCTTTTTCTGGAATATTCAGATCCACAGAGGTCAAATAGAAATGGTCAAAGCAGCAACAGAGGTAAGGGAGGGTGGGAAAGAATCTAGTAAGGCAGATTTCTGATGTAGTTTCTATTAATGTTTACAGCACTTTCTCTTTTTAGGAGAGTTCTGATAAGTCTGTATGATATCAGATTGTAGATAGACGTGTCTCATATCTGTGAAATAGTGTTTTTAATTAAATATAATGCTCTTTGAGTTGCGTAATGTAAAATACTATGTGAACTCTGGTTTTACCTTTGTTTCAGGATCAAATTTTAACTATCGGGCTGAATGATTATCTCGGATAACCTGCATCCAGCAGCATTTCTTTTTTTTGTGCTGAGGCAGCCAGTAATAAATTAGTAGGTCTATTTAGGATTTTTCACTCTTACCTTAACTTGGAATAAAAATCCTTAAGAAATAAACTTTTTCTATTTCTTATTAGCAATCTGTTCCCAGTCCTTCGATATTTATTGAAATTGATCAAAATAACTCCTAAATTCTACTGTTTTCTTTACACTCAAAAGAATTGATTCTTTTTGCAGGGTTTACCTTAGCAAGATGGATTAAATAAATAAAACAAACAAAAAAATGGTTCTTAATATTTTCTGTTATCTTTTGATTACAGTGTTTGGGAACCCCACTACTCATAGATCCTTGCCGATACCTAATAGAAAGAAATAGCAGTACTTGGGTGACACTGATGATTTGGCCATATCCCTTTAATTGTTTGATTGTTGTCTCAATACTGTGAGTCTGAAGAAACTGGGAATATTAATCATTGTTTCTTGTAATACATACAACTAAAAACTACAGTCTATGAAAATTAAGAAGTACAGTTGACTAAAATGTTCTGGTTTTCACGCAGCTGTGACAATGAGAGGTAAACAAACTGAATGATGGTAACCGGAAAATACCATCGGTTCTTATAATATGATGCTAGCAGTCTCAATGATGGATTTTAGAAAAGGAGTAATATTCCACAGTTCTTACCGTCTTCTCTCTTTTTTTCCTTCCCTCTCCACCATAGATGAATTTGCCTCTTATCTTCTTGCCTGTTCACAAATCCCACATTGACTACCTGCTCCTTACGTTCATTCTTTTCTGCCATAATATCAAAGCACCCTACATTGCTGCAGGGAACAACCTCAACATCCCCATCTTCAGGTAATAACCTCTTCTTATTTGAAAAAGACTGTGGTGGTGGGATCTTCAGGTGACCTATTGTGCAATATATCTTGTGTCCAAGTGTAAGATAATCTGAGTATTATTGGGCCATCATGTAGAACTTCTTTGGTTCCTATTACATGCTCAGAGAGAGAGCATAACAAAATCCTTCTGAGAAATTCTGTCGTAACGTAGATAGAATAAGGAAGGATATTCTCTTCTTCTGGGAGTCTCAAAGTGGGTAGGTGACTAAGGAAAGATAAGTATGTGAAAAAGTTGTGAATGTTCAACTCTTCTTCGTGAAGGTTAATGAGCTGGCTAATAGGCAGCGACAGTACTGAGTGAATAATACTTTCTGGGAAAGTACTCCAGTTCGGTCTCTGTTTAAATTATATTTCTGGTAGCTGAAGAACATAAGAAGGTCTTTTAGGTAGTATTTTGCCAGTGAGACAGAATTTGGGGATAACCGATTTCTGAAAAGCTGCTGGATGTTGCAGAAAATGACGAGGAAAGAAGGGGGATACCTTGACTTAGAGGGTGTTTTGCACCGGTAGGTGCTGGTCTGTGATGATCCCAGTAAGAAAGGCATTCAGACTCTATAAAGTATCAATTAAAATGCTGTTTATTAGGGCAAGCAGTATAAAGAAGTATAAAGAAAGAGAGACTAGCATAGTTAATCTAACATCCCTTTAGTTGCTGGGAACCCCAAGTTGCGCAGCATCCAGCGGGCCTCCGATGCATGCGCAGCATGCCATGTGGACCCTGCCCACAGAAAGGGTTACCCCATTTTGGTCATTTGAGCTAGTATAGGATTTTCTTACAAGAAGACAACTCTATCCATCATTTCTTCTGTCAAGCAGAAAGGATGTTCTCATGAGAACTTCTTGCTGCGCTGTTACATAAAGGCAAGGCCACGCAGGTGGCATAATTGCTGGTAGCAAGTGGGAGCTGCCTGCAGGCTGCTCTGTTAAAATTAGCTGGCTGAGCTGATTCTGCAGCTGAGGGGCATGTGCAGCACAACACGGGCACAAAGGCCATGCTGTATGTGCAGCACAGCACAGACTTGGGCCAGCTCAGGTTAACTGTTACGTGGGTCACCAGCATCTCAATGTACAATGGTCTCCCGGTCAGGGTCACTGCAGAGGGTAAGTGGTCTGTCAAGGGAGTGAAATGGAGCAAGACAGTGTAGAGAAGCCTATTTCTTAAGTTAAATAGAGTAATATTCATGTTGTCCTATCATGTGCAAATAGTGTAATACACTTTAGGAATTTCAGTAGTTTCAGTTTCTGTTGTGTGCTAGGAATTTTGTACTGGATGTGTAGTAGTCTCCTGCAAACTAAAATCAATGAGTATAATTCTTCTTTATTATGTAGCACATTGATCCGCAAGCTAGGAGGATTTTTCATTCGACGGAAGTTAGATCAGAGCCCTGATGGTCGTAAGGACTTCCTCTACAGAGCTTTGCTCTACGTGGTACGTATTTCTTGTCTTTGTTTCTGTGGGCAGCATTTCAGTGGGGTGGCAAATGGGAAAGTGAGCTCCATCAGTCTGGGTATGTTTTTTACTGCCTTGAATTTGTCTTAGGCTTCATGCTGCAAAAAAAGGATACATTTTTGTATGAAGTCTTGAATGTATAGAACAAAAGAGAATTGAATGCCCAGCACCTTTGAGGATGAGCAGATTTTCACCTTGCATAATCCTTATTAAAGAAAGTGGAATTAATACTCTCTGAATTAACGTTAAACTTAAGCCTTGTTTCTCTGACTTCTTTTGTACTGGGGCATATCTACGCTGATTCTGTTAACTTAATGAAAGTCTCTGTTTATGATGGGCTGATGTAATCCTTTGTGCCATTCAGTATAATAGCTGTATTTGCATCTTGGAAGATGGGATGTACTGAGGAACCAGAAGGAGAGGGGTATGCAAATTTGCTAGATCAACTGTTGCTAGAGATGCTGTTCTTGAACAAATGGCATTATACTGCTTGTATATTCATGCAAATTTAGCTGCAGTTTGGTCTGGGTTTGTGTCAAGCATTAATTTACTGCTTTTGTTTTTTTCACAAGTATTCATGCCAACCCATGATCTTCCAATGTTTTTAAAAGGAAATGGTTGCTGACAATATATTTCAAATGTGAATTTGCCAGTATAATTAGATACTTATTTTTTCCTCTTTTCCAAACTTTTTGTATTCAGCACATAGAAGAATTGTTGAGACAGCAGCAGTTTTTAGAAATATTCTTGGAAGGCACACGGTCTCGAAGTGGGAAGACATCTGGAGCTAGAGCAGGTCTTTTATCTGTGGTGGTGGATGCTCTCTTCTCAAATGCTACTCCTGATGTCCTAATTATACCTGTGGGAATCTCCTATGATCGCATAATTGAAGGTCACTATAACAGTGAACAGCTGGTAAGAGCAATTGAACACCTTGTTTTGCTTAGGGCACCTTCTGTTTATGTGCAAGAAAATGTGTTACATAGTTAAATGATGTGCTAGTAGCCACATGTACTTGGTGTTAGTGTTGAAGAGTGTAGAGCCATGAGTCACAAAACCTCTCTGATAGGGAGTGCTGAGGTATGGGTGACATACTTCTAAATGCAAATTCATGACCTAACAAATAATATGTTCAAGTGGATATCTAAGGAAAACAATAGTTCTCTAGATTTACTTGAAGTTATAAGGTCTGTCAAAAGATTTGGCCTTGTTTTGTCTGTTGCGTGCATTTTAATTTTAAACATAACCTTTTAATTGCAAATTGGAAAAAACCCAAAACAACCACCCATGTTTTCCAGGGCAAGCCTAAGAAGAATGAAAGCCTTTGGAGTATAGCTAGAGGAGTCTTCAGAATGCTGCGGAAGAATTATGGGTGTGTCAGAGTAGATTTTGCACAACCATTTTCCTTAAAAGTAAGTTTGATATTTTGAAGATCCTTTTGAAGGTTTGACATTTTTGATGTTTCAATAGTGGGACACATTTATTTTGATTTTTCTCTTTGTGGGTTATCATCACTAGCATTATCTGCTGAAGTCCATTCCAGTGGGACAAAAGTATCCCTGTTCTGCTGAAGGTGTGAGTCTTTGGACACATTTGTGTTAAGCTGAAATGTCTCAGAGTGGATATAAAGGGTTGTGTTAGGTTTGAAATGGTGTAAGTATTCTCACTGGAGTTCTTTGTTTGTTTTGTTTTGACAAACAATCTTTAAAATGATCCTTGTACCATGTTTAAGTTGTAGAGACATTTGGAGTTGAAGGAAGCTGAATACTGTTCTCCAGTTTGAGTAATTGAACGGTTTACACTGTTGTTGAGGAAAGGCATTTATCTCACTGGGTTTTTAAAACTGCTAAGCAAATTAGTAGCTATAAAAGTATCATGGATCATATATCATAAAAATCTGCATATTCTTTGAATGTCATAGTTTATTATTAGTTTACAATTATTACCTATACTGGTTCACCAAATACTGTTGTGTAGTTTCTCAGGGAATGGGGTGGTGCAGCACTAGCTGCCTTCACTTTTAAAATTTTCTCTGATCTCTGCAGAATCTCCTAGTACTATACTTAATTTATCTACATTTCACTAATCTGTGTTCTGCTACAGTATACCTTATTTTTAGTGTGACTTTAATAAGATTAACTACTGTAACAACAACCTACTAGAACATTATTCAAATTAATTAGGTGTTCTTCTTTCTGCCCTACTTCTCTCAGAAAAGCAGTAGGTTGGAGAGCTTTGGAGGGTTCAATTACCGCAGCATGAAATTATCGTGACCGTCTGCACTGCGTTATAATTAGCGTAGTAGGGAAAGAGATTAATTCGCTTCCAAAGGAGAAGGCTTGGGTCACTTCCAGGCTATTCTTGGTAGGGAGTCAACAATTGTTCTTGGATCAGTATAAGGAAAAGAAGGCTATCTACCCTCAATCTAGTGAAATCCTGATTACTCTATGCCTTCCTAGCAACCTCTGTCAGGTCTCATTTGTATGTGTATTCATTTTTGTACTCCAGAAAGGTAATAAATGACGTAAATTGTTTAAGTATGCCTTAACCAAGATTTGCAGAAGTGTAACTATTTTTAAATTGATGTAGTTATGTCACTGTAGGTTTTTCTAAAGGAGAGGAGCTTTGAGGGTTAATTTTGGGCATCTGCAGTTCTGTGAGCACAGGCTTAGAAGCAGAAGGGAGTGAGCTGGCTGTGAAAGTCTTAAGCAGCTTTCCTGGGAGGGAACTGTTTTCCTGACCAGCAGGTTAAGTGGCTCTTTAGTTTCCCACATCAGTCTTTATAGAAACTGAAAGAACACAGTGTCCTGAAAACAGAATAATGTAAATGCTATCCTGTAAGGAGAGGTGTCTGGCTTTTGAGAAATTTGGGATTCAGGAATTCCAAGCATGCAGTACCCTGCCTGCTTCCTGGGTGCTTTAGTTTGTGGCACTGAGGCAGTCTTGCAACTGGAGTTTCTACACCGGTGTTTACCTATGGAGAAGTTCCCTATCCTGGCGTTTGAGGAAAGCAGCAGCAAGCAATAATTACAGCTTCCGTGTTGGTTCTGAAAGGGTGTTAGACTTTGCTCTCATTCATGTTAATGAAGGCAGTTCTCGTTAATTTAATCATGGAGAAGCTAGTCTCAAAGGAGTTGTTCCCAGCAAGGTGCTGACAAGGGTTATGTATTTGGTTTGTTGCAGTGTTTTTTACGAAGTGTGGATTCCTTGCTGTGGAAAGTTTTGCCTTTTCATAAAATAAAATCAAAAGTGAATAAAATGTTGCAAACTTTCAATTTCTGTGACCTTATTACTGCTCTTTTAGTGTGAGCTATTTTTAATCACAGTTGCATTTTTGAGTAATGGCCTTTTTCATATAATAATATTATCAGCTGAATACAAGAATAAGGTGGAAAAAGTACAAAAAAGATCAAATCTTCTCTTAACAGGAATATGTAAACAGCCAAAGCCAAAAACCTGTGCCTGCTCCTCTTTCTTTGGAACAAGCTTTGTTACCAGCTATACTTCCATCAAGGTAGAGATTTTTTTGGGTGTTCGGGAGAGGGAGAACAGGTTGGGGTTTTTTTGTTTGTTTGTCTTTTTAGTGTTCTGCATTACATTCCAAGCAGTGCTTGAACTCCTCAAGGGTAATCTGGTTGTGTATGGAAAAACTAAAAACTTACACAATTGTAACTGTGCAATTTATTATGAGAGTTGCATTCTTTCTGGGGAGCTCTGTTTAAATAAGCTTGAGGAGGCTTTTTTTTTCCTCCTTTTAATTTTAGTGACCTCTGTTGGTTTAATTTTAAATTTCATGGAATAACTTAGGGAAAAAACCACACACTTAATGAAAAATGAAGGATTCATTTTTAAACCTCACAAACATTTCGGGTGGGTTTTGGTATAATTCCAAAGCAAATAGGACTTGTGAGTGAGTACCCCTTGCTCAAGGTGACGACTGTCACTCAGAAATGCAAAACTGTGCTCAAGGGCTAGATCTGCGTTTGTTACACATACATACATTTTAGTTGAAGTCTTAGCTTGACTTGTACAAACCTGTGTGGTCCTAGTAGAGACAAAGTCAGTCATTTGTCTTTAGAAAGTTGTAGGTCCATACAAAAGACCATTTCTAGTTTGTAGAGAGGCTGGACTGGAAAATGCTTTTTAGGCAGATTTGCTTACGCTACTGTTGTCCATATTCACTGAAGGGAAAAGAGCTGTGGGGTGCAAATGATATAATGGCAAAATCAGGAATAGCCATAGGACAAGGTAAACGTTCTGTATTGCAATTTTTCTTTTGGTAGTCTTGGATTGTTGTTTAGTGTGAAGAAATAATCTGGAAAAGTTAGTAGATATTAAAATTTTTGTGGAGCTTGTCACACATAACATTTTTGTGCCCTTACCAGACTGCGTAGTGTTTTTTTGCACTGTGGTTCAGTTAGTGTATATAAAAAAAACCCTAACTCAGTCTAGGTTATTTTACATTTTGATCAGAATCTAAATGTCATAATGTGAATTTTTATTCTGTATTCAGAGCTAATGATACTGTAGATGAAGGTACAGAGGCCTCACTGCCCAACTCCAGGGATATCACCAGTGAACCTTTCAGAAGAGAGCTGATATCCAACTTGGCTGAGCATATTTTGTTCAGTAAGTGTTACAGTATCACTATCAGCTACCTGTTTTGTTTTGCTGATTGCATGAACTAACTTGCTGTTTGGTAATGTCATACTTCCCAATTCCCTCCATTCAGGTGATCGTTTCGTGACTTCATATGCTCTCTTGACAATTCTCCACCCTTTGCCTGCCTCCCTCCCTCCCTCCTCTTCAAAGTTTAATAAACTCTCTTTCTGATTAAGTACAAGCTTACAGCTTATTCTGTTTGTTTTGGTAACTTTTGTATTCCTTGGACTATAGTATACTGAACTTGCTGTACTCTGAAGTGTTTGATTGTCATATTGATACACTGATTTCTTACCACTTCATGTAAGAAGTTATTGCAGTGTCTTAATGGCATTATTTAAAATAGTACTCATGTGAACTCATCTAGCTGCATGGACCGGTGTCGCCAGGTTTTATAGGTTATGTGGTGTATGCTTCAGTCAGTAGATCTGTGATTTGTGGTATAAGAGATGCATACAAAACGGTACTTAGCTTAGTAGACATTTAAGCTTTACTCAGCCTTTTTAGTTCAAGTTACTTTAACTTGATTACTTGAATATTGTTACTGTATAGACATAATACATTTTGTATTTCATGCAGAAGGTTCTGTGCTAGTATCACTATTTTTTTTTTTTTTAAATGGGACCCTTGTAATAGATGTTCTGAACTTCTCAGGTGCTTAACGAGTTTATCTTGTTTACTCTAGCTGTTTTTTTTTTAAATGGGTAGTCTTGTAATGATGTTCTGAACTTCTCAGGTGCTTAACGAGTTTATCTTGTTTACTCTAGCTGCTAACAAGTCCTGTGCTGTGATGTCTACCCACATTGTTGCCTGTTTGCTGCTGTACAGACACAGGCAGGTAAGGCTTCCATGCTGCTTAAATTGCCAAACATTACTTTGGCCTTGTTAATTAAAAAAATAGTATGCATTTTACTATTGTATGATACTAATAAAAGAAGAAAGATGCATTTAAATTAAAGTGGATTTCAGGTAGTCTGAGTGCTAATATTCTAGTTAGTAGTGGATGCTTGAAGATAAGCCATTATTGATGGAATGATAATAAATACTTATGTGGAAATAGATTTTTGTAATTCAAAATGTAGTTACGCTTTTTTAAAAGAATACATTGTTTTGGTTCATTGTATTAAGATTGTTTTATAGATCTTAAACACATTCACTATTGAATATGCTAGCAACTCTTCTGTTCATTTTCAAATGAGTTTTGCTGTTCCTTAGTACTAGAATATTATACCACGATGGCAAAATGATACTAATGTTTAACTGAAGTCTTGTGCATGGGGCATGGAAGAAATTATTTTTCTCCTGCAAGTGCGTCTAGCATTTTTTCTGAAATTCCTTCTGCCTCTAATCTGAAACTTTTATTGCACGTAAATCGAGAACAAATTGAAAAATATTGGTGAGATATGTAATCTTCCTAGTCGAGAACAGTATCACTATTCCTGTCAGTCCAGTCTTTCCAATTTCCTAGAATAATGGGATCAAAGAAGCATTTTACAATGTGATCTGAAGCCATCTTGACAAAAAACAAGGGAAGGAAGTGCTTGAGGAAGAGCTTTTCCTCATGTCCCCAAACAATTGAAGAGAAGTTCTGCTAATTACAGTATTCCCAGATAACTGAGCATTCGTTTTATAGCATAGGTAATGGAAATACGATATCTCTAACATGTTCCTAAAGAACAACTGAGGTCTTTGCAGGTTGTGAAATAAACCAAGAAGCAAACAAAAAACTTGGATTCTCAAATAGCTGCATGGCTTTAAAATATAATTGCATAGAATTCAAAAACCTGTGGACTATTTTAGCAATATCTCTGTGAAAACAAGGTTTTCTAATACTACTGTTGTGCTTTGGATTTTTGAAAATTAATGGCTTGTTTATGTGTTTGCTATATACATGGTTATGTGGTTTACAGATAAACTCCTGTGTAAAAAAAATTGTTTCACCTTGTGATTTTGATTTTATTTCTAGGGAACTGATCTTTCTAGGCTGGTGGAAGATTTCTTTTCCATGAAGGAGGAGGTCTTAGCCCGTGACTTTGACTTGGGCTTTTCAGGGAACTCAGATGATGTTGTCATGCATGCCATCCACTTGTTGGGGAACTGTGTAAATATCACAAACACTAGCCGAAACAATGAGTTCTTCATCACTCCCAGCACAACGATACCTGCTGTCTTTGAACTCAACTTCTACAGCAATGGAGTACTTCATGTATTTATTAGAGAGGCCATTATTGGTATGTGGGGTTTACCAAGGAGAGACTTTCTTGTGACTCATGAAGTCAAAGTACCTGCAACAATCTCCCCCACCCCCCATTTTTCATGTAATTTACTTACATATATTTCTTCCCTCCCTGCTTCAGCCTATGTTTACTCTAACAAAAACAATTTTAAAGTAAACTTGGTTTTGGTGTGTAGAATGTTTCACTCATTTTTCTCATCGTCCTTTATCTTTCTTGGCAGTATTCATGTATCGGTCACTGCCTTAGGTAAGGCCCTATCAGAGTTCTGAGCCAACATGGCAAAACTTGTGCTTTGGTCACTAATGTTTTCATGAGATTTTGTTTCAGTCAGACATTAATTGGACACAAATGGAATAGTGGTGAATTCTGTCTTTATTCTTCAATTGCATGTGTAATGTTTGCTTTTAGGCCTAGAAATAGACAAAGCAAAAGTTTTATGTTTCCTTTGCTATAAAGCTCTTTGGAAAAATAAACTTTGTTTATGTTTGTTTCTGCTCTAGCCTGCAGTCTTCATGCGGTTCAGAGTAGGAGGTACAGAAATGGTACCAATGGTGCTTCTCCCAGTTTGATTAGTCAAGAACACCTGGTCCGAAAAGCCGCCAGCTTGTGTTACTTGCTTTCTAATGAATTTACTGTATCTTTGGTAAGTAAGTAGTTGCATTAATTGTCCACACGTCAATTTTTTTTTCCTGCTTGTAACTGCCTTTGTTACCTTAAAGAGAATTTATGCTTTCTTCAAGTGTCACAGTTCTGATACGTTCCTTGCAAGTACAGTCAAATGAGTGTGGGTACGAAGAGGTTGAACATTGTTTGAAAAAGGAAGACAGTGTTGTTCCCATTTGCTTTAAGGAAATGTTTGAACGCTTGAATGAATGTAGTTCCATCAGAACAGTTCATCCAAAAGATGTTTGGCCCAAGATAACATGTGAATTAACTTGCCACATTCCTGTCACTACCTTGTTTCCTTGGCAAAGTGTGACAAAATCAGTCGATCCAGTTTAGAGGATACATACTAAGTGCACACCTGCTGCTCGTGCAAGTGCCAAGTGGGTGATGCTGGGGTGAGCCTGCAGCGTTTCTGCTGTGCTGGCTTTAAGACTTTCCTGAGAAAGAAAAGCTGCTCACTCTATCTCTGCCAGCTTCCCACAACTTGATGTTGGGCTTCTTAATGCCTTCTACCAGATTTTGTGTCTCTTATGTCATTAGATCGTCACAACTACATCTGCATTCTGCCCAAACTATTTAAATATTTTTTTACTTAAACAAATACAAGTCTTTGAGAGTACCCAACTCATGAGTTTGCATAGATGATTGAAATTACTCTGGGAACTAAGGCTCCAGATTCTAAAGATATTCTTAATTTGCATAGGAGTGCAATAGTCACAGTGTGCCACACCTAGTGGCAATTTTAAACATGGCCTGACTTGTTTTTTGTTTTGTTACAAAACACTGAAGAGAGCTGATGTTATCTCAGTTTTCAGACACTGTATACTTACACTCTGTATGCTTGCAATTTTAAGTGCTCTTTTTTTTTTATGTATAGAAGTTACTTAGAATTCTAGAGATTCTTCAGTCCTTAAATTCGCACACATATTTCTGTCTCATGCCTTTTTAAATGAAGCATAAGTCAAATTTAGTATTTTTGTCTGGGCAGTAATGCAGCGCAGATGGTGGGGTTCTTTAGTAATCTTATCCTTCTGCTTTCAGAGTTAATGTATTTTTTTTTTTTAAACTTAGAAAATATTTCCTACGTGATTATGAACAATGTAAAATAGGTTGGTTTTTTATTCGGTTTCAAAACACATAAGGGAATTTCTTAAAAGTGTGCTTTCCTTTAAATTCCAAATAAATCACTGATATGAGTCTCAATGATTTTGGTTTTATGATGATTTTATTCCAGAATTGTTAATAAACTAAAATTTGGTTAGAGGTGATTAAAAGGGGAGAATATTTAATGTGGTTTTCTACCAGTGTAGTAATGCATTTCTTCCAAAAAACTTGGACAAATTTTAAATATCCTATTTCACTGTAATTTTTTTAATGTCTCCCAGGATAAACATGAGTGGTGCATTGGGATTATGCTGGTAAAAGTTTAATAACTTGCTTAAAAGGAATAATACTGCTGTATCTAAAACGTTCGTACTGCACAAGGAACTGGTGTTGCTATAATGGGTATAATGGATGTGATTTTTTCAGTGCATTTCTTTTGTTGTGCAGCCTTGCCAGGTGATATATCAAGTTTGCCATGAATCTGTGGAAAGGCTGATACAATACGGTATTCTTCTGGTGGCCGAGGTAAGGTGATAGAGATACTAAATGAGCTTTGTTTCTTGTACTTGACTTCAGCCATAGGTAGTTTGTGCTTCTTAGTTGTGAGTCTTGTTCTAAATATATGCTGTTACTGAAAGCTTGTAACAACTCAACAAGTCCAGGACTGGTACTACTTCGTTCTTACATTTATGAGCGTCAGACATTTGGGTATTGTCTTCCTGTGATGCTATGAATGACTCTGTGTGTCATTTCATTGTACCATTAAACCTACTAAGGAAGACACATATTTTATACTGTCTTGTAAAATGGGCACTTATTTTATTATTGGAGCCCTTTCAAATTGTAGCATAGCTACATGGATGTTTACTTTCTACTCTACAGGAGTCAGTAGTCCAGATCTTTTGTCATTCTTTGATTCCTTTGCTTCGATCTCAAAATTATTGTAAACCTCCTCTGCTAGCACAGTTTGCAGTTTCAGGGACGTACTGGAGTCGCTGTGTGGTGCAATCTGCCAGAGGCACACAGTGTAAAGAAAACCTGGGGACCAGGGGGCAGCTGACTCAGCATACCTTTGCTTCCCATACTTTTTTTGTGCACAGCAAACAAACCTTGGTGCCCAGAGGGAGCAACAAAATTTGAAGAGCACATGGAAAAGAGTTATGTATTTGGCTGCTTTATTCTTGCAGCTCTCCAGTTTCAAAAGAGGCTAGAGCTGCTTCTGGTGTATTTGTTAATGGCCACTACTTCACTCTAATCTTGCTGCATACCTTTTGATACATGCTTCCATTTTTAATATATATAACCATAGGTACTATTTACTTGATATACCTGGATATTAAACATTCTCCTCCTTTGGAGTTACTACTGCTTGCTTTTTATCTGAAGTACTGACATGTTGTCATGCATTAGACTGTAATCATTATTAGATAAATCCAAAAATGAATGCTAATCAGAGGATTAGGAAGAAACCTGCGTGTTCCATGCCTGAGGACAGATGAGGAAAATAGATGTGGACAGCAGCAGATACGCACCTCTGTCTACTCAAGCATGAAACCTGTCTTGAGGGTTCTTCTTTAACTTTCAGTTGCTAAGTCTGGTACTTTGCTGTTTATAGCTGGGATATAGATAGCTATTAGGCAGTATATAAATATTTGTCTGTGTTGTCTGATATACACCACCAGTGCAACATTTGGATGCTTAAAAAGGAGATGTATTCCATCAGTAAATTTCTTTAAACTTAGAAAACCTCTGTACCTGCTTACCTCTTTTAAAATACTAAGAATTTGCATAATGAGTGCAAACACTATAAGCAACGGTTGTTTCATGGCTTCGGAGAGGTTGAAAATGTTTGTGGGGTTTTTACAATCTCTTCTCTAAGAAAGGTAGCTACCTTCTGCCCCTTCTAATTATTTCAGTTTACTGCTGACATTAACACATTGATAAATTTCCCATTAACTTGAGTTTGATTGAGCCATGCTTTTTTAAAAATTCTTTTCCTGTTATTCTAGTGTCTACTTCAAAAACTAAGAAATATTCCTAACACACAGTGATCTCTGGTTTTTTTTTAAACTTATTTTGTGGCCTTTGCTTCATTCAAAATAAAACATTTGATCGGAATCTAAGATTGGAAGGATGTCATTCTTCATTTGCTGCAGAGGCCTTTTTCTTTGTCATGAATATTACGACAGTAATCACATCTATGAGATGTCTGTATGCATTTGGTTTTAATCTTGCCTGATTCTCATTTCTAAATGGAATAACTGTATGGGGGTCTTTCCTCAGTGACTTAGCACTGGTGACCTTTGAAAAATCTTTCTGTTCTACTACTTTGACCAAAACAAATAATGGCGAATGATTGACACTAAGGCTTCCCTTATTCTTTCGAGTGTGTGTTTACTATCTCTAAAACTCATTTCTGAAGACGCATTGTTGAAATTGAATGTTGCATCAGACATTGATCAGTCAGGTGGAATATTTCTGTTGCACCTTAGTTACTGTACACCTGAACTTCTGACATACTTGCGTTATTGCACAACAGAACGAAATCACTATTCAAGTACATCTAGTATGTATATATTTGTCACTTGTGCTTATTGTCTCTGGCAGATTACCTCACTATGCCGTTGCAAAGGAACTTTACAATACTTTACAACTTTACAAAGCACTTATGGTTTTACTAAAATAAATGGTTTTACTAAATAGATGAAAAGGAAACAACAAACTCTTTTTCCCTCACAATATTCAAGTTAAGAAATTCCACCAATGGTATTCTTGCTGTCACGCACTCATCTCAAAAGCCTGAAGAAACATATACTTACCTAAGACACCTACCTGTTAATAAGTGTAAATCCATGTCTTGCTCCGAGGGTGGAATACTGTGGGGCATTTGTAGGCTAAACTTGGATGGTGCTTGTCAGGGTGATTAGCAGAAGGGAATTGCTGTGATGCAACAGGTGGAGGGGTCTTAATGTCTCAATGTAATCAAGGTTTAAATAATTTGGGGCCTTTGTGATTAAAACTGGCTCATTCTATTCCAACTGATATCTCACGTGGGGACAAATACAAGAACAGCATCATTAGAAGCAGTAAGTTACCACTTCCAAATAGCAACTTGTGGCATTCTGCGTTAATTGAGATTTTAGCTATTGTAATATAATAACACAGAGTTTACTCCTCTGTCTTTAAGGGAACAGTAGTATGGGGGTTAGCAAGATCCACATCCAGATAGCATCTCAACTTTTTATCCTAACACAACTGAAAACACTTTCTTGGCAACTGCCACTGCATGGCCTCTGGTAGGAAGATTGAGCAACCCTTGTAAAGATTTTCACTTTTATGTGACAGGCAAACTAAAGAAAAACAGTCTTTTTCACCAAATGTCTCTTCTCTCTGCGTATCTCAACCCTGTCTATAATTGGGTCTCACCTGCTTTCATTAAATATCGGACTGATTAAGTCAGATGAGATTATAAAATAAATCTATTGTTTGCCTGGATTTGGGTTTTTTACCTATTTACCACCTTATCTTTCAAATTTAAGCAGGATGATCAGGAGGATGTTAGCCCCAGTCTTACAGAGCAGCAGTGGGATAAAAAACTCCCTGAGCCATTATCTTGGAGAAGTGACGAGGAAGATGAAGACAGTGATTTTGGAGAAGAGCAGAGAGATTGCTACCTAAAGGTAATATTGTCCTAAGGCTAATAATATTGAAGCCTGTTGAAAGGGATACAAACTACTTCACTAGTTCAGGAGCGGTAATGATTTTTTTTTTTTTCTGATTCACAGTATTGGTCTGTTGTATTTTGCTACAGTCAGTAAAACACCTTTCTCTCCTTCTCATGGGGAAAACAGCTGAAGAAACATCCAGATAATCTTATAGGGAGGTAGAAGGGCAATGGTTAGTGTCATGAAAACTGATAAAGGCTCAAGTATCTTAGCGTCTAAATGTCTTATTCTTTACTGACAGCACGCACTCTAAAAGTGGCACATCGTGCTGGTATTTATTTTTAGCCTAAATTTAACTTCGTAGATTGATCGTGTTGATTTTAGACATACTACCAGTTTTCTCACAGAGCTGATTCAACCACTCTTTAGGATATCTTGTTAACATTGGAAACTTATATCCATCTCTGTGAATGTATGGCAACACTTCTGTTGGCTGCAGAACAGTACGATGTCTTTAATTCTATCTTAGGAAAAGAGTTATTAGTATCCTGGAGGAGAAAAAAGTAGCATTGATCTGTGATGTGCAGCGCCTATTTTGTCCCTCGTGGTAAACTGCTTTTTTGCTATGCTTTCATAATGTGCTGTGTTGTGCCCCCATACTCTTTTTTGTACTAAGAATTATTTGGGCTGCTGTTTTGGTGTGTACTGTGTTGCAGGTCATTTCTTGTTTCCGCTGGTCTCTGTCACTTAAGCTCTTGTTGCCCTTCCTTAGGTGAGCCAGGCTCAAGAGCACCAGCAATACATCACTTTCCTGCAGAGGTTGTTGGGACCTTTACTGGAGGCATACAGCTCTGCTGTTATCTTCGTGCACAATTTTAGTGGTCCTGTTTCAGAGTCTGAATACCTTCAAAAGTTACACAGGCACTTAATAAACAGGACGGAGAAGAATGTTGCTGTATATGGTATGTTAAACTGGTTTTGGAACTGGATTTGATTCATTCTGTTCCTCCTGGCACAAGGTAGCCCAAATTCAATTGCAATTTGTTTATCGCTGGGTTTTCTTTCTTGCAGCTGAGAGTGCTACCTACAGTCATGTGAAAAACGCAGTGAAAGTCTTTAAGGAAATTGGGGTAAGTGTTCGGTGATCAAATTTGGAGACTGCTAAATTTCATTTTAGTAATGAGCTCAATTTTGACAATTCATGGAACCTGTTCAGTGTTAGTTTAAAATATGTGAATATATCTCTGCAAGTGTATTGTGGGTTTTGAGCATTTTGCTTTCCTTAAAGCTCAGGGCTGTAGGACAAGAGCACACATTGCAGAACAGGGCACTTCTTGCCCCTGAGAAAACCTGTCTAGATGAGGGCTAGGTGACTAGGCATTTTTATTCACAGCAAATGAAGTTTCTGTGCTCTACTCCATGGCCTTATTGGACATCAGTGACAATGTCGGAAGGCTGAGAGCATGCTCTGTGCTTAGTGTCAGCTAAATCTAAGTTTGAAGGACTACTTAAATCTTCAAAAAGTATTAGTTACTGAATTTTGGCTTAGCAGTGATTGATGCTCCAGCAGAACAATCCTTAGACCTCCAGTGTCCACCATGAGGATATGGATCTTCTTTAAAATAACAGATCAGTTTTGCACTTTACCACTATCATTTCGAATTTCAAATCACCTATCTAGATTTTGCAAATGAAGAGTTTCTTTCATCAGAATGATATGGCTTCCTGAATGCCAGATGGGATTTAGCATTATAATTTTGAAAGCATCAGCATTTAGGCAGAGTATTGCTAGATAAGGGTTTTGAAGTCTTTGTCCTTGAATTCTGCTACATTAAATAATCTAACACTAGTTAGCCTATAGTAAAGGTATCTTCCTGTAGACTGTAAGAGCTGTGGAGAAAGCACGTATCAAATCCATCATTTAATTCTAGTTTGTTCTGCTGTTGGAAAAGTAGAACTAGATAGCATCTGCTGAGGATCTATTCAGAGCATAACATCTGAATTCTTGTTTTCAAAGTGCTTACACTTTCAATTCAGATGCCTTTTGAGTGCGTGTTTTATGCTTCGCTGTTAGGAGCTGGCTGTTTATCATACACCATGCTTATTTCTCAGTTTCTCTTCTTCCGTACCACTTGAAGGTCTTCAACATTGAGTGAATTCTAATGATATCTAAAGGCATTGCCATCGAGCATAACATCTGAATTCTTGTTTTCAAAGTGCTTACACTTTCAATTCAGATGCCTTTTGAGTGCGTGTTTTATGCTTCGCTGTTAGGAGCTGGCTGTTTATCATACACCATGCTTATTTCTCAGTTTCTCTTCTTCCGTACCACTTGAAGGTCTTCAACATTGAGTGAATTCTAATGATATCTAAAGGCATTGCCATCTAAGCCCTCAGGGGGGGGGGGGGGGGAAGTCTTGTAAACGAGGGCAAATTTAGTATAGACCATAAACTTTTAATCACAAAAGAAAGGCGATTCTTTGAACGTGGTGATACTTATATATATTCATGCTGTGCTTTAGGTTTTCAATCAGACGAAACAAAGAAGAGACACCATTTTGGAACTAAGCACTACGTTCCTACCTCAGCGCAACAGGCAAAAACTACTGGAATTCATCATGAGCTTCATGGTATTATAGACCACATATAGCACCTTTGTCCAGGGACGTGAAGACAGGTTTTGAGACTGTGTCGAAGCCTGGGGACATTTGCTAATCTTTCAGAGTGTAAGGTGCCACTGTCTGAGTAAGGCCTTCTCTGACTTGAACTACTGGAAGACAAGTGCCTTCTTACGTATACATTTATGGGTTTCTTACAGTCCCAATCCTGTTGTAATACAGCGATACTCAGATGACACTTTGGATACAAGTAATTAAACTTGTTGCAAAAAATAAGATAAATGATTAGAATTAGATTTAAAACGAAGAGTGAAGTTTTATCAGTGTTATGTTTTAAATATACTTTCAAAGACTGTAACAGATGCACAAATACGCGTATTTGTGATCTGTAGCTAACCCTGAGATCTTGAGTTTAGTGGCAACACAGCTTATGGCATAAACAAGTAACTTTCATTCCAGTTCAGTTTTATTGTTTTCAATAAATGGTTTAAAAATTTTGCTTAGGCAGGATATATATTTCATGGATAAAGCCATAGTTTTTAATAAATGTTAACATAAATGCCAAAATTCTAATGAGAATAACAGTTACAGGCATCTGAGAATAATGATCATGTAGCAGATGATTGTGAGAAACATTGTTAGCAGGCACACCTTGCACTATTACAGCTGTGTAGTGCAGTGGTAAATTGCACTAATCACTGCTGTCATGAAGAATGTGAGAGTAGCATTCTTGTTTTTATTATGGCATCTGTCATTCAGCCAGATGAAAGTCAGGAGACAGTTGCCTGAATGTGAATATCTTGTAAAATCTTAGATTATTATTTAATTGAAAAAAGCTATCAAGTTTTTTTTTTTAATTAATAGGATGTCAGATTTTTCTTTTTAAAGTGGAGTAAAGACTTGATTTGGTGAAATAATTTTTAATTTTGGCCCTAAAAATTTCAGCAATAACTTTTGCAATTCTTTGGAAATGAGTGTTCATATTGTATTCTGTTGCTGAGCAGATCAAAATTGGCATGAAATAGTAACCTCTAGAAACACAGAAATATCATAAACAATGTACTTTTGGCTCTGATCTAACTGACTTACAAAAAAAAAATTCACAGACAAAACTGAATGATGAATAAATTCTGCCCTATGAAACAGGACTCTGGTCTTGCGATTTGATCCTTTTGCATGGAGGACTTGCACTGTAGATTTCGTCTTCTCTTCATGCGAGTGGAGATTAGATTGCAACCTGTGGTCCTGTATTTTAGTACAGCTGATCTAGCTGAAGCAATAACTTGGTGGTATGTGAAGCTGGTTTGCTTGTGAAATGTGTTTTTCCTCATTTAGATTGCCTTCTATATGAGGGAAATCAAACATTTCAATTACTGCAATGTTTCGCTTGATTCTCGCGTCCTGGCCTTGTGAGCAGAAAATCCCCGATCTTCATCATGCAGCCTCTGTCGCTTAACATAAATACGGAAAAGCATACTTGAATCCCAGCACTCGCACTGTTACGCCAGCACAAAACTGATGCACACAATTTGAGTTTGTGGCCAAGGAGCTTGCATTTGTACTGCACATTTGTCAACGAGAATATTTCTGTAAATTTTTTTATTAAATGCTATTAATATTTGAAACCTGCAGTTTATAGTTTATTAGCATTATACTGTTAGCACTGTGAGATGCATGTGTTTTGTCACTAAACCAGGTGCTCTACAACACTTTAAGAATTTCTGAACCAAAGCTACATTAATACGGATAGAAACTGACCCTAGAGTCGCTTTCGTTCTTATGTCCTTCTGCTGTCTCAGCAGGATAGTGACTACATCACGCATAATTTGTTTTGTGGAGTCTACTAGCTATTTAGAAAACAGTTTCATCTCATACTAGCTAATGTGCACTGTTCGTCAACCCGATGAATGCTCCATACAATGGTTGTTGCTGATGGCTTCCATTTAATGTCAAAAAAAGACTAGGTGCTTCTGAATAATGAGCTCTCATAGTTTACTGCATTTCGGTAAATCTGAAGTGTACTAACAGCAAAGATTGTACATCAAAAAGATTTTTAAAAATGAAGCAATATGAAGCAAACAAAACTTGAGACATTTTATTAAGAATGTTCTGCCAACTGATGTATTAGTTACCGTAAAACCCAGGAGTACTGTGGTCACTGGAGTGTTCTGGCTGGGTGTTGCAACTGTGATAACTTATGGCTTACATTTAAAAAAAGAAAATAAATTAAAAAAATAAATCTGGTTAATATAAATCAGTGAGTGGGTAGGGTAATAATGCATGTGAATACACATTTATGAATACATTTAGTATGCAGAGGGAGGGGGCACCTCTAAAACGGGTTTGGTTTTGTATGAAAAAAAAAACCCCTGCATGTGAAAAGTCAGTACTATGAATCATATGCCATTGGAAGCCTTTGCATTCTGCAGCGAGTGTGTAGGTATACATATATATGCAAGCGTGTATATTATGACACATGACAACTATGCTTTTCCCTGAAAATAAAGCACAGAATATAAAATTATCAGACTGTAACAGTCAAAAACTAAAACCAACACTTTTGCACTGTATTTACACCTTCAGTGTCTTCTGATTTTATTAACCTCTCATGTTTCCTTTACTGATAGAATGCCAGATTGAGTTAATTTCGGTAAAGTTAACCAGTAAAGAAGAAAGGACTGGCCCTGAATTACCACAAACGGATTTTAAGACTCTCCTCTTACGAAGACTTGCACGAGTCTCATCATTCTTACGAGCATATTACTCAGGTGTGCAAGTCTTTTTGGGCCAGGATCTTTCATGGTATGAGGTTCTTAATCATTCCATATGCATCCTGTAGATCTTACATTTTTAGAGTGATGAAAATGTAGAATCCCACTTCCCATGCCGCCACAGCTACCCAGGCCCCCAGGGATCATAAACTTGTTAATATATTTACTTTCTACTCACACTGACATTGGAGGCATACCTGCCTTCTCTTTGACAGTATAGGGCTTTATTCACCTATCTTTAATTAGGAAGCGTGTACACACACTTGCATTCAACTGACTGCCTGCTCCACAGAGAAGTATCAGAATCACCATGTAGAAGAAGGTTGAGCGGGGAGGTGATTTAAGATACTGTTGCTCTTGTCTTTCTGTGCTAATGAGCCTGATACTGCTTCCTTGAGAATGTTACCACGTTTTACCTGTTATGTGTAACGCCATGTCTGTTGTAGAAGCACGGAGGTGTACTGGAGTCATTTTAATAAATTAAACTGTTTGCTAATATGACATTTAACAAGCTCTTCTCGTGTTTTTTTGTTGTTTTGTTTTGTTTTTTAAATAACCTGCTAAGATAATTTATTCAATAACTTTGTCCCATGCTAGGTAGTTTCTGAAATTAAACCGTGAAAAGCTTCTGTTGTAGAAGTGTCTCTACCAGTGTACGTACTGGAGCAGAACCATTTAAAAAGCAGGTTGAGGTGACATCCTGACTCCTGAGTCACTGCCAGTTTTGTTGCAAAGCGGAGATGCCATTTTGCTTCCCTGTTTCCCCATCTCTGCCAGGCCTTTGTACGTGGCTTCCTCTTTTAAAGTTCCTCTCGCCTTACGGGGCAGGGGGGGGTCATTCAGAAGTTTGGGACAGCGCTGATGCTGCAGACTGTCCCTTCTCCTGGCGATTTCAAGCTGACCTGGAGTGCAATAAGCACCTGTCAGCAATTCTGACAGCATCTGGCAAATGTGAATCAATCGGAGTGGGGCTTTAATATAATAAAACCTGCATGGATGATCATTACTTAAATTGAGAAGGAGGGATGCTGTCTCACCCTTCAGGAAAAAAAAAAAAGTTGTAATCAACTGATTAAGAGGCCTCTAGCGATGTTCACATGCAAGCAAGGCTCAATTAATTGACAACTCTAGGCTGAGGCAGGAAACTAAAATTCAATTATTGTCAATAGCTTGAATAAAACCCAATTCTTATTGGTGATGACCTTACATGTTATTCTTTCAGTAAATGTCTTCCTATTTCTCAGTCTTTTAAAATCCCAAATGTCAGATAAAGCACTTATCTCCGGTTTTTGCTTAATTCAGTTTTCTTGTAATAAAAGCTTGTCAGGCTTATTTAGAAGGATCACTTGATTTGAGTTCTCTGCTTTGTTCTCTCTTACGGTACACCAAGTTTTCAGCAGCCCTGTATTTTCAAGGTAAGATCCACATTGATCTGAATTGCTGCTTGAAACATTTTCCTTTCAGTCTTTTATAGATGTTCATTGCACTTTGCATTTGCTGGGTGAGAAGTATCGTCCTTATTAATTCTTCTGTAAGTTGGCCCACCTGTTAATGTAATTGTCCAAAAAGTATCATAGTTGATGCTGTCATTAGATTAAGGAACTTTCTGGCTTTTGGGAAGAAACATGTATGAAATGTTCATTGCTGCGTGTTATGCTGGAGTTCAGACCTGAGAGACAATAAACCCCAAAGAGACTTCTAGATTTCATCTGTCATAAAGCATTGACAGTTACAGAAACAAAAGCTATTTGATTAATTATTGTATAACTATTAGTTATACAAATACATGTGTCTGTATGCAATGCAAACTTTCAATAAAAGATGCGTGGCATAATTCCTACAAGTAATTTGCATAAAAAGGGTGTTCTCCAGCATAGTAATAATACTGGTTCTTAAACTGATAGTATTTGCAATCTCTTGGTCTCAAGTGTTTTACAGAGCAACAATCTCTGACAGACGAGGAAACCTAGACATGGAGATCAGATAATGTGTCTAAGGCCATGCATGGGTTCAGTGACACCTATGAGCCTCTTCTTTTGCTCCTAATTTACATGTCACTTCTGATGCTGTCTTGTGTTTTTGTTAGCAAGTGATGGTAATTTGAGGAAGGCTGCATGTGTAAAGGTACTGAGTGGATTTTCTTTCTCTCCTTAAAGCACAATTCCCAGTCAGAATGGAAGAATTATGGAGTGGAAGAATTACTATTAGTAGTGGACATGATTCTACTAGCATCTGTTCTGAGTTTTGTCTATTCAGTATCTTCATTAGTGACCTGGGGAATGGAAGAGAACATTTGCTGTTTACATTTGTAGATAAGATCTGGGAGAGCCAGGTAGTATGCTGGAGGTTGTCATTATCCCGATGGTAATGATACATTTTTGGAAACATCTGAAGGCAAAAAGAACACAATTCAGCAGGGAAAGTTCAAGGTGTTACAATTGAGAGAAGAAAAACTAAATGCACAGGCACAGGAGAGGAAATAAATTCGCTGTGTAGCAATTCTTTGGAGAAAACTCCAATTTACTGGCAGATCACAAAGCAGAACATGAGTCAAAAGTGGCATGCTGTTATGAAAAGGGCAGATGTCATGCAAAGATAACCTTATGCCTGCACATGAATGACAAACACAGGGCAAAACTTTCCAGTCCATTCAGATTGATAAGGTCTCAGCTGGTATACCATGTTCTGTTTGAGGAGCTCTATTTGAAGGATGATATGGGCAAGATGGAAGGGAAAACAATATGGCTTTTATTTTCCCCCTTGTGGAGAAGAAGAGAAGAATCTGGATTATTCCCTGGTTATGGGAGTACCCAGGTTGGATGAAAGCAGTGAATTTAATCTTCAGTTGCAGTGAAAAGAATCAGGTTAGATACTGTAAAATGTTTTTACTGTAAGCATAGAGAATCATAGAATCATTAAGGTTGGAAAAGACCTCTAAGATCATCGAGTCCAACCGTCGACCCAACACCACCATGCCCACTAAACCATGTCCCTAAGTGCCGCATCTACACGTCTTTTCATATACTTCCAGGGATGGGGACTCAACCACTTCCCTGGGCAGCCTGTTCCAAGGTTTAACCACTCTTTCAGTAAAGACATTTTTCCTCACGTCCAATCTAAACCTCCCCTGCCGCAATTTGAGGCCCTTTCCTCTCGCCCTCTCGCTTGTAACTTGGGAGAAGAGACCAACACCCGAGCACTGAAATACTCTTTCAGTAAAGACATTTTTCCTCACGTCCAATCTAAACCTCCCCTGCCGCAATTTGAGGCCCTTTCCTCTCGCCCTCTCGCTTGTAACTTGGGAGAAGAGACCAACACCCGAGCACTGAAATAGATGGCATGAGTGGGCTGACGGGGGGGGAATGGAAACAGGTCCCTGCTCGGGGTGCCAGGCGAACCCCTGCCTGGCCTCCC